GAGAGAGAGAGAGAGAGAGAGAGAGAGAGATTAGTATAACATACCAAGAGGAGTTTACCAAAGTTAGGTTTATCAGTTGCGGGTCCTTTAGTACAGTCTCCGCCCCAACAGACCGGGTACTCCCAGTCGAGGTCCAGACCATCGAAACCATATTTCTTTAAATAGGCGACAGTATTCTTGATGAAAGGGGCCCTCAGTTTGGGATCATTAACCATATGGGAAAAGGGTTGGTCAGGCATCCCATACCCGGCCACCGCTACCATTAATTTTAGTTTTGAGTTGCGTTTTTTGAGTGTCTTTAACCTATTATACAGCGCGGGTCGGGCACTGCCGGTGCTGTCAACGATCACATTATGAGCATCGTCATATTTGTGAAACGAAAAATGAATGTGAGTGCATAGGAGAGGGTCAAAGTCTATTGGCGCTAATGTTTTTAGCCGATAATCGGGGTAATAACAGATTACGCGGGGTATGCATATTGTCACCGATAACTGTGCGCACACTAGCGTTGCGTATAACAGGATCTTCATTATGAATGTTTTTTGTACTTTCATTAAAAAATCTAATTAACATTATTATCTGGTTAAATAAAGCATCCGAATGTTACATAATTTTTTTATTACGTCAAAGTGGTATTTTACATGTTTGCTTATTAGATTAATTAAATTATAATTACTTTTTATGTTTTCTATTTAAACAGATTTTTAGATTGTACTTATTGTACATTGTACAATTGTACTTATTATTTTTTTTAATTTTAAATATTCTCAAAACTATAATTCTTATACATGTATTTTAAATATTATTTAATGAAATATATAAATTTTAATATTCCTTTGTTAAATATATTAAACATTTATGATTTAGTTTTATTTTATAAGTACACAGTAAATGTTTTAACAATGTTTTTTTTTAAATTTTATCTCTAAAAATAATAAAACACAAGAAATTGGAAATTAGTTCAAATCAATCATTAATTAAATACATTAAATTTAAAATCTTTATTTATTGGACTAATCCCTTACCATTTATTATTTTTGTAATATTAACATATTTAGCAATAGAAATGTTTAATTAAGCACAATCATTATTTTATGTTGTATTTTACAATGTAACAACTAATTGCTAATAACATAGAGTTAATTAGTAAAATAATTTAAAATGTTAATTCACACATTAAAATTAATTAGGATTTTGAATAAAACAATTAATTTTTATGCAAAATTTATTTATGCGACTTTATAAATTGGCAAAAATAGTAATTTTAACATGTAACAATTGAATTATTTCTTTTCGCAGCCATAGCTATCAGGTGCTTTACCGGTACCAAACAGACCATTATTAATAGCCCGGAGCATTGGGAATTTCACCGAGCAACATGTGCCCTTAACGTCATCCTGGCCAACTTCCCACATGATTATACCGCCGTAGCCATTGGCCTTCACCCAAGCTGCCTTGCTACATTATGAGAAAATTCAATAAATTAACGTGGTAAAAAATAAACGCAGTTGTCTTAAAAGTAAAATGTTACAATTAAAGTAAAAAACTTACTCATAAGCTTGATATGGGTCGTCATAACCAAACCATATTTTACCATTATAAGCAAATGGGTCTTTTCCATTAGCTCGCTCCTTTTTCCAGCCCTTATTCTTGACTAAATCACACATTTCGCTGTAGAGCGCAGTGCCGTCAGCGCCGGCCGGCGTATTGCCCACACCTGCGATGGGAGCACCGGTCGCGTGTTGTGCCGCGTCTTTCAGTGTATACCCCCTGCCATAGAAGGCCACTCCGACCAACACTTTCTCTTTTGGGAAACCTTTGTCTACATATGATTTGCTCCATTCGGTCGACCGCTTAAAGTCCGAGTGATGGCCAGTCTTCTGGTCCCACACGCCGGCCAAGTCGTACGTCATTACGCACAGGTAGTCCAGTGCCCTATCATTAGTGCAATGATCATTAAATTATATTAGCATATTTAGGAGTGTTGGTTATTATTTATAATTATTGTAGTTAGAGTGTCTCTATTATATACTTAGACAGGGCTGGGATATCATAGCCTTTATCGATGGCACCGCCGGGTAGACCCGCCTGTACTGCAGCAGACAGTGACAACTTTGGGCTCTCCTTATCAAAAGCAGCCCTCAATTCCTATTCAATTAATGACAATTATAATATTTAGAGAGAGAGAGAGAGAGAGAGAGAGA